GTCTAGCGTGGGATAACTCCGCAGGAACTCGTTCCACCTCTGCTGCAGCTCGGAGGGGAGCGGATCATCCCATCCGATTCCGCTGAGCCAGATTTCTTGCATAAAAATCTTGGAACGGACAATAATTGGCGCCAGCCATCCGGCGGGATCGAACAGCCTGGAAATCTGGGCCAGGACCTCCCGTTTGGTGAATGAGGACCCTTCCTCCAAAGCGGATGCGATGAACAGGAACTCATCGTCGGTGGCCTTCCAGCGGATGCCCAGCGTCTTAGTCATGCTGGCATCCTCAATGTCTAAGAAGTCGGCGCGCAGCAGATGCTCTGGTGGGATGCCGCGAAGAATGTCCTTGTTGTTGGCGACCCACTTGCGCAGTGGGAAACCTGCTGCGCTGAAAGCCGCTCGTATCTCTCGTATGGATGAGAGTGCTTCCTGCTTCGTATGTGCTCCGGCCAGGACGTCATCCACATACATGAAGTCCGTGAGGACCCGGCTGGCGAGCGGATACTGCGCCTTGGAGTCTTCGGCAAGCTGCAGGAGCACGCGGATGGCCAGGAAAGGCGCACAGTTCACCCCGAAAGTGACTGTTTGGAGCTCGAAATCCCGCAAGTCACCTGCCGGATCGCGGAACAGGATTCTCTGGAACCGGGTATGTGCGGGGTCGACCAGAATCTGCCGATACATCTTAGTGATGTCGGCACTGAAAACGTGCTGGAAAAAACGCCACTTCAACACCTGTAAAGTCAGGTCGGCCTGTAGGACGGGCCCCGTGTGAAGTACGTCGTTTAAGCTGTTCCCGTTGGACGACGGGCAGGATGCGTTGAAGACCACGCGGACCTTGGTCGTGGTGCTGTCCGGCTTCAGCACCGCGTGATGGGGCAGGTAAAAATTGGCGTTGTCCGTTGGAGGAGGGACAGGGCGCATGTGCCCTAAGTCGAGATACTCGTTGATGACTGCGTCATACTGCTCCTTCAACGAAACGTTCCTAAGCAGCCGAGCCTCGTTCTTGAGGAACTGGGCCATCGCGATGGATCTAGAATGGCCCAGTTGAATGTCCTGGGGGTCCTTGAAAGGCAGCGAGACCGTGTATCTGCCATCCGGCCGCCGGCTGGTGGTCTGGACGAAAAGCTGTTCGCACACTGCGCCCGCTTCCTTCTCGCAACTCACCGGGATGTCCTCTACCTCCCAGAACTTGGTGAGCAGCTGATCCAAGGATGGCTGTGTGCTTGCTGAAATGCGCGTGGTGAAGGAACGGATGGCCGTCTTCCTTGCCGCCGCTACTGGTCCGGTCAGAATCCATCCGAAAATGGTCTCCTGTGCCAGCAGCGAGCCGCAGACGTTTGGCCGGGTGCCGCCAAGCAGCACGGCAGGTAGTATGTCAGCGCCGATGAGCAAATCGATGGTGGCGCTTCGGAAAAAACACGGGTCTGCCAACGGCAGGTCAGGAAGATCTCTCAAGGTTTCGCTGGATATGGGAAACGATGGCAGGGCGCCTGCCAGTTGCGGCAGCACGTATGCCGCCGTCTCGACTTCGCGCCTCGGTTGTGAGGAAGATGCCAGCTTGACACTGCACACCTTGGTCGCGAGCCCAGATGTGGTCGCGTTCAGCCCCGATACCTGGGCCTGCACCTTCTGGAACGGCAGCCGAAGAGATCTGCGTAGGCGTTCTGAAACGAAAGTTCCCTCGGAGCCAGAGTCGATGAGCGCACGCGCGGCGTAGACGCTACCCAAATGGAGCACGTTCACTATAGCCGTGCCGAGGAGGACGCCCTGAACGCTGCTGCTGAAATAGCTCTGAACATTCGACGAAGTGGACTGTAATGGATTGCAATGTGGAGGGGGAACTGATGCTGAGGGCGCCGATGGAAGGGAGGGGCCACGGTGTAGGAGAGTGTGGTGGCGCCCCTTGCACGTAGCGCAGTTGTACTGGCTTGTGCAAGCGTTTAGTTGGTGCCCGCGGGCGAAACAATTCATGCAAAGCTTCTGATTCTTGATCACCTTGCATCGGTCCTTGACCGACATTTGCAGAAAACGCGGACACAGGCGCACGGGGTGGTTCTCCTTCGAGCAAAGATTACAGGTCTGCGGACTGTTGCGGACCTTCGTCTCGAAAGAGTTGACCTTCCTCGCAGCCGGCTCCTTTTGAGCTGGCTTTGGAACGCGGGTGCGGAGGCCCAGGGTCGCATCATTTATCGCTTCCAATGTGCGATAGCGATCCGAGAGGAACTGATTCATGTCGCTCCAGGGCGGAATTTCGGACTTGTCCTTTACCGACTGCTCCCATAAGGAAAGGGTAGCTGGAGGCAATCCCAGTCCTGGGTGCCAATCTTGGCATTCTGGACAGCCGTTAAGCACCCTTGGATTGTGCTCTGGAGCTCCTTGATGGCGATGCCACACTCCGAAAGAATAGGCTGGAGGTTGGCGAGGACCTTGAGCTGACTGTTGACCAACAATCGCTTGTTTTCGAAACGCTCAGTTAGGTTTTTCCAAGCTGAGGCGAAACCGTCGTTGGTCAGTGGGGAATTACGCACGATGTCCTTCGCTTCGCCGCGAGTTTTGGAGAGGAGGTGGTAAAGTTTTTCCACCTCTGTCAACCGCTGGTTGCGAATGTACAACGCGGTGAAGAGGTCCCTGAACGTGGGCCACTTCAGGTAGTCGCCAGTGAAAACCTCGGTGTCCACTGGCGGAAGGATACAGCCCCTGACTGGGGGCTCGGGACTTGGAGCGGGAGCGCTGCTCCGCGCGGACGCGTCTTGTATCCGCGTGGTGAGCTGAGTGGCGCACCGCTCATAGACGCGGTAGCAGTGATCATACTTCATCTGTAAGGCCTGCTTGTCGGAATCGCTGGACTCTGATTGGCTCAGAGCCCGGAAACAGCGCCGACGCTCTTGCTGAACCTGTTCCCACAGGGCTTTGACTTGGTCCAGTTGGATCTGCTGCGTGACAAGCGTCACGGCTGGGTCGGACGAAGAAACTAGTGCTTTAAAATGGCACAGGTCATCGCTGACCGAAATGAATTCGTCCAACACCATTTTGATCGTTTTGGAAGCGATCCGAACAGCTGCTCGAGTAGACGGAACGGGTTTCGCAATTCTGGGCACCCTCACAGAGAGCTGTGGCGAACAGCTGGTCTTCCTTGGAGAAGGAGACGAAAAGGCGTTCACGGACAAATGTGATTTGGGGCTGCCCTTCTTGGCGGTGGAAGGCGAAGGTTTTTTCAACAACAAGCGTGAACCCGGACTGCTCCTCTTGGAGGTAGAGGGCGAAACCTTCTTCAACGACGACGGTGGTTTCGGAATAACCCCTTTTGACGTCGACGGCGAAACTGTTTTTACAAGGGACGGTGTCGGAACCGAACTGGATTGCGCGTCAGAAGAAGGAACGGCCAAACGCTGAGAAGTGGATGGGGCGACCGAGGTAGACGGATGGACTAAATGCTTCTTCGTGTCCTCCTCGCCTTCACTGGGCATACTAGGCTCTCACACGAGCCTGCTAGAGTGGGCCCACTTGAGGCAGGTCGGGTATGAGTCCGCCGGAAAACGGCGTTGCTGACCGCTTATGGCGCGCAAAATTCTGCGACAAGTTTTATTAACTGGCTTATGCTAGCTGGAGGTGCTGAAAACTGGTCGGACACAAGGTCACAAGAATATGTGTAGCCACCGAAATAAAAGAGAAAATGGATTTCGTTTTTTTTCTCTATGTTCGTTTTATTAAAATTAATTAAACACCGCGGCAGCAATAAATATATGTGCAATTAAGTTGCTGGACAGCTGCAGGCGGTGATATGCGACGAAGAATCAAAAAAATCCAACAGAAAAAAAACCCAAAAATAAATATAAATTAAAGCTGGATAAAATAACTGCCAGGTAGAGGTGCTGGAAAGGTTCGGGAAAAAGTCCACAAGGATATGTGTATTCACCGAAAAAATTTGGATTTATTTTTATTTGATTTTATTAAAGTTGCTGAAAAAACGCAGCAAAAACTACACGCAATTACGTTGATGGAGAAAGACCAGCTGGAGGCGCTGGTATGCGACAAGGAATCCCAAAGAAACATAAAAAAAAAACAATAATAAATTTTATTTAATTTATTAAGTTACTTTTTGGGATAAAGTAACTGTATTTAATTTTATTAAGTGATTTCCGGGATAGCGGACCGCCAGTAGCAATTGGTCACAGTGATTATCGAAATTAATAATTCAGCTGTGACTCGTTACCGTGACCAAGTTTCTGGTCACACTCCAATTTCGATGATTGTAGCTTCCGATAACTGATTTTACACAAGTGTCATCACTTGTTTACCTTTAATGGGTAAGTAAAAATTTTAAGTGCAAAACCGCAATATGTTTTAATTTTCGCACAAGCGCCGACGCTGGAATATCGCGCGGGCTATAAGGAATACCAACTGGAGTGTTGGCACGTAGCGGGGAGTCGTGGACCGACCGGTGAGTGTATAGGATTGTGTTAGTAATTAAATATATGAGTGTAAATATGTTTGTGTGTAAATATTATGGTTCGTATATTTAGTGCATGCAGATGTGTTTATAGCGGACTCAAATGTATATAGATATATATATATATATATATATATATATATATATATATATATATATATATATATATCAGCGTATGCGGACGTACGTTTGTTTCCGCTGCCGATATATGAAAACGTGTATAGATTTATACGCAGCGGCTGTATATATGTGTATGTGCATATGTTAAAATATGTCTCTTGTATAATGTGCATGTATGTATATAAAGTGCATGTATATAAGCATATGTGGAAATATGTTTATTGTGTGACGGACCATGCAAAAACTATGTGGTGTGAATTGTGCATTAGGAACGTGCAGGTAAAACAGGTGTGTTTCCCACTGGACACTTGTTGCATATGGGAAAGAATATGCGCAAGTATGCCAAGATGCAAACGCAAACGGACGGAGTTCGGGTTGAACCTGCTAATTGTTGCACTTAACTTTTCGTTTAAGCGGACCAGCGCGGTACCCGGCGTTAGACGAGATGAGGCCCTTGGATAAGGGACGGACAGCGGGATGCTGTTCCGTTGTGGGGGTCGGCGGACAGACCGACAGTGAACAAATATGGCGTAAGTATCGCGCCACAAGTAAATAGTTTACTTAGCTGCTTCTCCTCGCAGGTATCCAACGCCAGGAACAAGCTGGGGCGAACGGTCGTAGGCTGCACAGGACTTGGAAGGAACAGGAGGTGCACCTGAAGATCCGGCTCGAAGGACAATGTTGGCGTGGGGCGTTGGGGGTGAAAGTCCAAAAACCGCAAGGGAAGTAAAAATGGCGTCTGCTTTCCTTTTCACTGTGACGTGACTCGCACGTATATATATATTCTTCACTTGTATGACAATTTGAAACTAAACTTAACCTAATTGCAGTGGCGCTTAGCTGCCCATATGAAAGAGGGAGAGGCCGCCGACGCTAGCAGCGCTCTGCCAGCAGATGTTGCTGGCAAGCGTTGCCATGTCAACACTGGCAGAGTGCTGCCACATCAACATGCACTAAGATGAGTATTGAAAAATTCGAGTTCAAAGGGGGGGAAATCGGGCTGCAAAATTTTTTGGAAAAATCCACATTTCAATAGGTTAATCGACATAAACCTAGGTTTCTAAAATCAATAAAAGAATATAAATAAAACTGCATACTCGAATTTTGAAACTTGTGTTGGAGGCTGAATTATGGGGGCGACAATTAGGCACAAAATGAAACCGCGGTAACAGCCCACAGCCCAAACCGCAGAAGCTAATGAGCTGAAAGTTGGGCTCAAGTATTCTATCATAGTACAGGTGCGCACTAAGATGGGGATTTGAAAAATTCGAGCTCCAAAGAGTGGAAAAGGAGCTGCAAAATTTGTTGGTAAAATCCACATTTCGATTGAATAATCGTGTAAATATGCACTAAGATGAGTATTGAAAAATTCGAGCTCCAAAGAGTGGAAAAGGAGCTGCAAAATTTGTTGGTAAAATCCACATTTCGATTGAATAATCGACCTAATATTAGGTTTCCAAAATCCATAAAAGAATATAAATAAAACTGCAACCGCGAATTTTGAATCTTATCGTGGAGACTGAATTATGGGGCGTCAATTAGGCATAAAAGGAAACCGCGTCAACAGCCCACAGCCAAAACCGTAGAAGCTAGGGAGCTGAAAGTTGGGCTCAAGTATTCTATCATAGTGTAGATGTGCACTAAGATGAGTATTGAAAAATTCGAGTTCAAAAGGGGGGAAATCGGGCTGCAAAATTTGTTGGAAAAATCCACATTTCAATAGGTTAATCGACATAAACCTAGGTTTTTAAAATCAATAAAAGAATATAAATAAAACTGCATACTCGAATTTTGAAACTTGTGTAGGAGGCTGAATTATGGGGGCGACAATTAGGCACAAAATGAAACCGCGGTAACAGCCCACAGCCCAAACCGTAGAAGCTAGGGAGCTGAAAGTTGGGCTCAAGTATTCTATCATAGTGCAGGTGCGCACTAAGATGGGGATTTGAAAAATTCGAGCTCCACAGGGGGGAAATCGAGCTGCAAAATTTGTTGGTAAAATCCACATTTCGATTGAATAATCGACCTAATATTAGGTTTCCAAAATCCATAAAAGAGTATAAATAAAACAGCAACCTCGAATTTTGAAACTTGTCTTGGAGGCTGAATTATGGGGTGGCAATTAGGCACAAAATGAAACCGCGTCAACAGCCCACAGCCCAAACCGTAGAAGGTAGGGAGCTGAAAGTTGGGCTCAAGTATTCTATCATAGTGTAGATGTGCACTAAGATCAGTATTGAAAAATTCGAGTTCAAAGGGGGGGAAATCGGGCTGCAAAATTTTTTGGAAAAATCCACATTTCAATAGGTTAATCGACATAAACCTAGGTTTCTAAAATCAATAAAAGAATATAAATAAAACTGCATACTCGAATTTTGAAACTTGTGTTGGAGGCTGAATTATGGGGGGACAATTAGGCACAAAATGAAACCGCGGTAACAGGCCACAGCCCAAACCGCAGAAGCTAGGGAGCTGAAAGTTGGGCTCAAGTATTCTATCATAGTACAGGTGCGCACTAAGATGGGGATTTGAAAAATTCGAGCTCCAAAGAGTGGAAAAGGAGCTGCAAAATTTGTTGGTAAAATCCACATTTCGATTGAATAATCGTGTAAATATGCACTAAGATGAGTATTGAAAAATTCGAGCTCCAAAGAGTGGAAAAGGAGCTGCAAAATTTGTTGGTAAAATCCACATTTCGATTGAATAATCGACCTAATATTAGGTTTCCAAAATCCATAAAAGAATATAAATAAAACTGCAACCGCGAATTTTGAATCTTATCGTGGAGACTGAATTATGGGGCGTCAATTAGGCATAAAAGGAAACCGCGTCAACAGCCCACAGCCAAAACCGTAGAAGCTAGGGAGCTGAAAGTTGGGCTCAAGTATTCTATCATAGTGTAGATGTGCACTAAGATCAGTATTGAAAAATTCGAGTTCAAAGGGGGGGAAATCGGGCTGGAAAATTTTTAGGAAAAATCCACATTTCAATAGGTTAATCGACATAAACCTAGGTTTCTAAAATCAATAAAAGAATATAAATAAAACTGCATACTCGAATTTTGAAACTTGTGTAGGAGGCTGAATTATGGGGGCGACAATTAGGCACAAAATGAAACCGCGGTAACAGCCCACAGCCCAAACCGTAGAAGCTAGGGAGCTGAAAGTTGGGCTCAAGTATTCTATCATAGTACAGGTGCGCACTAAGATGGGGATTTGAAAAATTCGAGCTCCACAGGGGGGAAATCGAGCTGCAAAATTTGTTGGTAAAATCCACATTTCGATTGAATAATCGACCTAATATTAGATTTCCAAAATCCATAAAAGAATATAAATAAAACTGCAACCGCGAATTTTGAATCTTATCGTGGAGACTGAATTATGTGGCGTCAATTAGGCATAAAAGGAAACCGCGTCAACAGCCCACAGCCAAAACCGTAGAAGCTAGGGAGCTGAAAGTTGGGCTCAAGTATTCTATCATAGTGCAGGTGCGCACTAAGAAGGGGATTTGAAAAATTCGGGCTCCAAAGAGTGGAAAAGGAGCTGCAAAATTTGTTGGTAAAATCCACATTTCGATTGAATAATCGACCTAATATTAGGTTTCCAAAATCCATAAAAGAGTATAAATAAAACAGCAACCTCGAATTTTGAAACTTGTCTTGGAGGCTGAATTATGGGGTGGCAATTAGGCACAAAATGAAACCGCGTCAACAGCCCACAGCCCAAACCGTAGAAGGTAGGGAGCTGAAAGTTGGGCTCAAGTATTCTATCATAGTGTAGATGTGCACTAAGATCAGTATTGAAAAATTCGAGTTCAAAGGGGGGGAAATCGGGCTGCAAAATTTTTTGGAAAAATCCACATTTCAATAGGTTAATCGACATAAACCTAGGTTTCTAAAATCAATAAAAGAATATAAATAAAACTGAATACTCGAATTTTGAAACTTGTGTTGGAGGCTGAATTATGGGGGGACAATTAGGCACAAAATGAAACCGCGGTAACAGCCCACAGCCCAAACCGCAGAAGCTAGGGAGCTGAAAGTTGGGCTCAAGTATTCTAGCATAGTGCAGGTGCGCACTAAGAGATGGGGATTTGAAAAATTCGAACTCCAAAGAGTGGAAAAGGAGCTGCAAAATTTGTTGGTAAAATCCACATTTCGATTGAATAATCGACCTAATATTAGGTTTCCAAAATCCATAAAAGAATATAAATAAAACTGCAACCGCGAATTTTGAATCTTATCGTGGAGACTGAATTATGGGGCGTCAATTAGGCATAAAAGGAAACCGCGTCAACAGCCCACAGCCAAAACCGTAGAAGCTAGGGAGCTGAAAGTTGGGCTCAAGTATTCTATCATAGTGCAGGTGCGCACTAAGAAGGGGATTTGAAAAATTCGGGCTCCAAAGAGTGGAAAAGGAGCTGCAAAATTTGTTGGTAAAATCCACATTTCGATTGAATAATCGACCTAATATTAGGTTTCCAAAATCCATAAAAGAGTATAAATAAAACAGCAACCTCGAATTTTGAAACTTGTCTTGGAGGCTGAATTATGGGGTGGCAATTAGGCACAAAATGAAACCGCGTCAACAGCCGACAGCCCAAACCGTAGAAGCTAGGGAGCTGAAAGTTGGGCTCAAGTATTCTATCATAGTGTAGATGTGCACTAAGATGAGTATTGAAAAATTCGAGTTCAAAGGGGGGTAAATCGGGCTGCAAAATTTTTTGGAAAAATCCACATTTCAATAGGTTAATCGACATAAACCTAGGTTTCTAAAATCAATAAAAGAATATAAATAAAACTGCATACTCGAATTTTGAAACTTGTGTAGGAGGCTGAATTATGGGGGCGACAATTAGGCACAAAATGAAACCGCGGTAACAGCCCACAGCCCAAACCGTAGAAGCTAGGGAGCTGAAAGTTGGGCTCAAGTATTCTATCATAGTGCAGGTGCGCACTAAGATGGGGATTTGAAAAATTCGAGCTCCACAGGGGGGAAATCGAGCTGCAAAATTTGTTGGTAAAATCCACATTTCGATTGAATAATCGACCTAATATTAGGTTTCCAAAATCCATAAAAGAATATAAATAAAACTGCAACCGCGAATTTTGAATCTTATCGTGGAGACTGAATTATGGGGCGTCAATTAGGCATAAAAGGAAACCGCGTCAACAGCCCACAGCCAAAACCGTAGAAGCTAGGGAGCTGAAAGTTGGGCTCAAGTATTCTATCATAGTGCAGGTGCGCACTAAGAAGGGGATTTGAAAAATTCGGGCTCCAAAGAGTGGAAAAGGAGCTGCAAAATTTGTTGGTAAAATCCACATTTCGATTGAATAATCGACCTAATATTAGGTTTCCAAAATCCATAAAAGAGTATAAATAAAACAGCAACCTCGAATTTTGAAACTTGTCTTGGAGGCTGAATTATGTGGTGGCAATTAGGCACAAAATGAAACCGCGTCAACAGCCCACAGCCCAAACCGTAGAAGGTAGGGAGCTGAAAGTTGGGCTCAAGTATTCTATCATAGTGTAGATGTGCACTAAGATCAGTATTGAAAAATTCGAGTTCAAAGGGGGGGAAATCGGGCTGCAAAATTTTTTGGAAAAATCCACATTTCAATAGGTTAATCGACATAAACCTAGGTTTCTAAAATCAATAAAAGAATATAAATAAAACTGCATACTCGAATTTTGAAACTTGTGTTGGAGGCTGAATTATGGGGGGACAATTAGGCACAAAATGAAACCGCGGTAACAGCCCACAGCCCAAACCGCAGAAGCTAGGGAGCTGAAAGTTGGGCTCAAGTATTCTAGCATAGTGCAGGTGCGCACTAAGAAGGGGATTTGAAAAATTCGGGCTCCAAAGAGTGGAAAAGGAGCTGCAAAATTTGTTGGTAAAATCCACATTTCGATTGAATAATCGACCTAATATTAGGTTTCCAAAATCCATAAAAG